TTTTTTTTTTTTTTGTGGCAATGGAAACAAGTTTCATAACCAATTATAAAAAAAAATTCACTTTAATGGACAATTTCATGTAAAATAAAGTCGAACGAATACTAAACTTTGATAAAAAAAAAAAATGATTTTTTAGGAATATTTTTTTTTCAACATTTTTTTTACTTTTTAGTAATGGAAACAAATTTCATAACCAATTGTGGAAAAAATTATCACTTAAATGGACAATTTTTATATAAAATAAAGCCAAACGAACACAAAATTTAATAATTTTCTAGGTGGAAAATTATAACAATCAAACACACTTAATTAACAATTTATTGCAAAACATTTTAGCAATTACTTTCCCTGTAATTCATTTTCTTTCCACCAATTTTTCACCCTTCCAATCAAACGGACTCTTAACGTGTAAATAGACATTTTCCGTTAATTCAGAAAATAGTCTGCACAATATTTAAAGGTTGAGGACAAACTGCCACAAATAGAAAGTGAGAACATAGTTGCCACACATGAAAACTTCAGTACCTTAGATGTAATTAACCCATAACTATGCCGTCGACTATTTTAAAAGTATATAAAATCCGAACAAATCTCAACTAAACTATGATCGTCAGTGATTCTCGTAAATCGAGTGAAAACTGGAACTGGAACTGGAACTGGAACTGGATAAGCATTATTCAAACACGTTGTTGATTTGATTCAAATCCCAAAACGAATTTGAGTGCGACGATTGGTGATTAGAATAGTAGGTGAATCATACAAAAATTTCCGGTGGGTTTTGCTTTTCTTCCTTACCTAAAAAGAAAGGAGCCGAATTTTCTGTTTTCTGACGACTGGGTTGTGCTATGGGGGCAATTAAGGTAGCAATTGGTGATGCGATACTGACGTGCATGTGGGTTTTTTGCGCATCGTCGCTGGGTGCACTCACTTTCGTTGTGGCTTCTGCTCTTGGGGTGACCCAAGGCCTGCCCACGCTTTTGATCACCACTTTTCTCATTTTTGTTCTTTTGTTTGTATTTAGCTTCATTGGCGATGCATTGGGAGGCGCCACCTTCAATCCCACCGGCCCCGCCGCCTTTTATGCTGCCGGCGTTGGAGGCGCTGAGTCTCTTGTCACCGCCGCCGTCCGCTTTCCCGCTCAGGTAACCTCTTCTTGGATGATTTTCAGATTTCTTTTAAGCATCTCTCTGTATGATAATTAATACAATCAAAGTAGAAGAATCAGACTGTAATACTACTTGTTTTACCAGTCACCAGAGGCCAGAGCCATAGGCTCATATCTCAATACGGAATCATTCAGATTCCATTAGTAACGAGGATTCAGAATATCAGACATTGATCAATCATAGTGAGATTTAACTCTAAAGAAATATTTATTCTATGGGATCCTTCCTTTGTTCAAACGAAAGGAACAGAAATAGCATCAGACCAATTTCCGCAATACCTTCCTGGATATTACTCAACTTCATCTAGTTTCGAATCCTCGATATGAAGCCGAGTGAGTTTTGATCCTCAAAGATGATTCTTGGAGCATAAGTGATTAAGATACTAGCATAGATATATAGTTTGAAATTTATGATTTAAAATATGAATTACTTAAGGTTCTGCAGTTGGAAGCGTGATTCAAGCTAATCAGAACATCATGAAGAACAATGAGATCATCCAGAATAGCTAGTTACTAGAGCTAAACATTCTGTGAAATGAGCCGATTGAGGGGATGGGAAAAATTTAATAGACATTTTGTGAAAATTTTAAATTATTTTGTGGCTTCTTGACAGGCAGCTGGTGCAGTAGGTGGTGCACTCGGGATTATGGAGTGTATGCCTGTGCAGTACAAACACATGCTAGAGGGTCCTTCTTTGAAAGTCGATTTGCACACTGGAGCAATTGCCGAGGGGATATTGACCTTCGCAATTACCTTTGCTGTCCTTTACATTGTCCTGAGGGGTCCTAGAAACCTAATTGTGAAGAATTGGCTGCTTGCTATGTCAACAGTTGCCTTAGTGGTTGCAGGGTCGAGTTATACAGGACCTTCCATGAATCCTGCCAATGTAAGCTACCTCTCATTTTGTTCTGTTTTTAGATAAATCATGGGCTATTTATTGTAATTCTTGTCTTTTATGCAGTGCATTATATCTTTTAATCTGTTGTTCGTCGCATATTAACCACAATTGAAGAAATAATAAACATAAGAAGAGAGGATATGTTCACTTAGCATAAAGGGCAGAAATATCTGCACCATTTTCTTCTTTGCTTTATATCTTTCGAATTCCTTGTTAGAGTTCATTATTTACTTTCCTAATCATGCTTTTGTCTACATTAAATTTCTAAAGGCTTGTTTGATACACATTATGGAGAAAAGATTGCATTTTTTTAAGTGATGTGATGGAAAATATGTGGTTAAAAAATAAGCAAAAGTTTTGGATTTACGTGTTATATTATTTTATTGATGAATGTGTGGTTGAAAATGAATAGATAAATAATGCATTTTTCAAGAATGTTGATCAAACAGGGGCTAAGTAAGATGTCAGGTCTATATTGATCTTTAACGTCTATAAGCACAACAAGTGCATGTTGGGTACAAATCTATTAAACATAGATGGACATCTAAATAAACAAAAATAATTTGCTTCTTTTTATTCCTTAATAGTGTTCAGTGTTAATTAAACATCCCTAGTCTATCAATGCTGACTGATCACACGGGATTTCACATGTGCCAAGCTACTCGGGTAAAAGCGTAAGCTAGTGATGCTTTCAGCTATTATACTTTCGCCATTTAGGGTGAAGCATTCATGCTACTTCGTCAAGCAGCATGACTCTAGTATTGCTCTCCCAAGACCACGCTTACACAATTCTATGACATGGTTTGAATGACGCGTGCATAAAGTTTAAGGATTTCAATCTATTTCATTATTATGTCTTCCCATTGCATTTTCACACTCTTAATAAGATAGTAAGCTCCTCGACCAGCAGATCTTCGCCTTTTTTTCCTGATTGTAAGCATGCAAATCAACCAATTAATTCTTGCTACCCACAACTTGAATTGGAGTTTGAATATGCATTTTTCTTTGCGATAACCTTACCCTTAGTTTACTGAACATTCCTAAGTTTGAATTCAATATCATATTATGATGTAAGCAAACGAACTACATCCAAACAATATGATCTGTCATTCAACTTAATTTATATGTGCTGATTTCAGAAAATTTCCCTAGTGTTGTGTTTTGTCACTTGTTTTTTGTTTCCTCTCCCATTATGCTTGTTTTCGTGCTCTATATCTATATGGTCATATGCTCCTTATCATACAGCTTAACCTATATCTAATATCTTGCAGGCCTTCGGCTGGGCATACGTAAACAATACTCACACAACTTGGGAGCAATTCTATGTCTACTGGATCTGCCCCTTCATTGGAGCAATATTGGCTGCTTGGGTTTTTCGTTTTCTATTTCCGCCTCCTCCAGTAAAGAAGCAGAAGAAAGCATGAAATGCCAAATTGATCATCAAACAAGCAGCCAGCTATGTCCAGAAGCTAACTTCTTTATGCATTTTGCTTAGAAAACTTGGAAATTTTGGTTAATTTGAAGCTGTCATAGAATTTGCTCCTTGCCATTCTTTCTTAGGTTTCATGTTGTTTATGCTTGTTACAAATAACTGAGCTGCAAACTATGGTGCAAGAGTTGTGTTTGTTTTGCCAGGTTTTTTTCGCTCTGCAGTAATTGAGTCGAGTAAAAATACTGTGTTCAGGAAATATTCAGTAAGTATAATAAAATTTTATCTCGACCCAGTAGTATTTATGATCAAGTAATATGCTACAAAATACTGAAAAAAAAAATCAATGTTTAATTGCATATAATACTCCTACTCAATGTTAGGGATGACAAAATATCCAACGTTATCCCACCCTAAATGGTGTGGTAATTCCTAGGTTAGTTGGGGAATCTGGTCGGGACGAAAGCCCTTACTTAGGTCGGGAACGGGGAACATGTTCATTGTCCATATTATGTAGAAATTGGAGTTCAAGTCTTAAACATTACACTACATTAATTAGGTGCGTGTCTGGTTGCACTTAAAATTGCAATCTCAACCGTTGTCAAGTAAAATTTGGAGAGTTGCTTTTCACTATTTTCCAATGAAGACTGACATGACAGCCGCAATATTGGACCATTGTATGACAGAATGATGTTTTTGCCTTTAATATTTAATTCATTTTGCATGACATATGGGCTTCTTCGGAAGTTCATTTTTACAATGACAGGTGTTGCTGCCAAAGTGGGCTCCATTCTGCAGTAAGAAAGGGTAAATTAATTACTGAAAATTGGAAGAAAGTGCTCCCAGACATGCCCTAGATCTTCTCAAATACGTTTGTTGTGTTGAGGAAGAATCTTTAAAATTTGGAATATTGACTAAGTCTATTCGATTGTTTGGAATTTAATTGGTTTATCCTCAAATCAAAATCAATGTTAGGCAACCCAATGACCAAGTAATGCATAAATTGATCATAAAAACACGTCAGGTTCAACTTTCTACCTAACCAAGAAAAAAATTAACTTTTATTAGTAGGTATTAAATTAATTGCGATAAATGTGGTAGGAAATATACTATTTTTTGTCGATGACCAACTCTAGCTTGGAAATGGAAAAGTTGCCTCCCTCCATCATACATTTCAAATTAGAAGCATAAAAATACGATTAAAAAATTTAATGCATAAATGCCAAGAATAAGTAAATGCTACATGCAACTAAATCCCAACTCTTGTTATTCAACAAAGGCCTTGTTCAATACCTTATCTTGCAAGGTCAATCGAACATCACCTTTGTCTGAGTTTCTTGGTTCTACGTAAAGATTGTTCGATCCTAGTAATTTTTTACGTTTATTGGGATGGAGGATTTTTTTTTTTTTTTTGCAGAAAAGTCAATCAAAACATGTTTGTTTAAGATTAAAAATAAGATAAATTAATTTTAAGTAACTACTCATTTTCAAATATGTTTATAGAGGTGTCGATTCAGGTGAGTCGGACCGGGTCGGCCGCCAACATATGAGCCCGGTAACAGCCCGCGTGGAAAAAAAAGCCCATCCCGCTACGGGTTTCGGGCCGGTTCCAGGTCAGCCCACAAATTTTGGACTACAACCCGACCTGCCCGCTGATCCATCCAGGTCGAGCCCATACGGGT